TTTATAACTAGTAACTTAAGAGAGAAGTAGCTAATCTACATGACCCCCCGGCAACGGCGCCAAAACTTTGGTGTGTGTCGTTTTAACACCAAATAATAAACTAAACTAACACATAGATATGGAAAGTTCAGGTCGATCCCATAAGGAGTTTGGATAATTAACTACTAATTCTCAAGTTATTAGAATCAAATATTTTTAAATCGAAAGAAAATAAAAATGCAAAGTATGTATAAAATAGATCAAAGAGTAAATAGAGATTTAGATTATATAAATAGAGATTTCCAATTCCAAGTTTTAACTCGTGTAAGTTTAATCGACAAAAAATAATTTATTCATCATAATAGTTGGCGTAGATTAATTGCAAACGCAAACCAATCTCGAATTCACCTATTATACCTAAAAGCGACAAACGTCGTCAATTTAGTCTAATTGATTCTCAATCTTACAACAAACGTTTAAAATTCAAGGCTCAATCGCATTAATCTTTGTGAATTTTTAGCCAACACGAATAATATTTCCCAAACGGGTGAATATTCAATTCGTATCTATATTTTTCTAGATGGTTCTTAAGCACCTACTTACTACTATAACGAAACCTAATTTCACCAAATCAGATTTCAATTAGCAATAAACTCACAAGAATAGTAATTAAGTATGCATCCAAATAAACTAATCTCATGAATTCAACTGAAATCAATTCATAAAAATATAGAATAATATGGAAAATAAAACATTAAGCAAAAAAATCTCACGAATTAAACTACAGAGTATTAACCCGGAATTGGAAAATTAAAGGTCTAGCTATTGGTATTCATTTGGCAATGAAAGCAGAACCAAATTAAAAATGAAATTGAAGAATTTAAAGATGGAAAAATTGCCCAAAGGAAGAGGATCGGTTTACCGTTTCTTCTGATTTGCGCCCCTGCTCTTGCTCTTCTTTCTTCTCTTGTTGCCGCCTTTCTTTTTTTTTGGTCTATTTATTTTCTCTGCAGCCGCCTCCTTTGGAACCATTCATCTCTGCCCGCATATCCCTCCTTCAGTTGTTGCAATCCCGAAACTTTCTCACGCAATCAAAGTTGATAGGAAACCGCAGCTTCTTTCCCTCTTTCTTTCCTTATTTCTTGCTGCGTTTTTCTTTCTGATCGTTTGTTTCCTCCTTGCACGTGACTTTTCAATTTGCTCCAAGTAAACAAATGAATCCTTATCTAATTAATAAATGAAGGCACATTAGTAGGTTTCCACTTAGAAGACTAAATCAATTTACTTGGTCTAAAAATGTCAAATACTCAAACAAAAAAATGATTTGCTCCCTTTAATCACTTATTAAAATAAAATAAATTAAAAACCTAATTAGAGTATAAAAAGACATATTGAGACCTATTGAATATGTAAAAATAGCATCAAATAAACGCCCAACAGTTCTTAATGGGTGGGGGTATGAGTTTTGCCTCCAACGCAACTCTTTGGGTAACTCAAATGAAGAGATATGATGTACCATGGCTTTCACTGAGCCGCTGTTACAAAATTCCTTCATTGAATTGGTACAAATATAAATGAGTTTAGGACTGAACCTTTCTCCTTGGTTTGCATGAGATACAAATATTAATTAAGGTTTAGCGATTGAGAGACCCATTGTTGTGTATATGCTTATTTCATTGTTTGCTTCTTTGTAAGGCAGGTGTCAAGAAACTAAACAAAGTCTAGGCTTTTTCTTCTTTTTCTTAAACTTTTAAAGTTGTATCCCCATTTGCTTTTATCTTTCTCAAATTTAAATTACCATACTTTGCATTTCTCATCAAGAAAAGAATATATGTGGAATACAGACACAGATTATAATCTTTACATATTGCATGCTCAAAGCTAAAGAAGAGGTAGAAGAAATGAAGGGTGTCCATTTGAAATGAGGTTGCTAGTACTTATTATTTATAGGGGAAAATGAATGATCCTTCTTGAAGAAGGTTCACATGTCCCGAGGACATGTTAGTTGGAGTTAGTGGACATATGTTTTTCTTATTTATTTTATACGGACTATATTTAAATGCCCCAAATGGTTCACTAAATTGTCTGCGCTTCTTTGTTATGGAGAAGCAGTCAGTCCATGCAATTTTGGACGCGATTTTCACTATGGGTCATCCAGAAACAGTCTCTCTGTGCTTTAGTACAGGGGTAAGACTGCGTACATCCGACCCCCCTTACCCCACCGTAGGTGGGAACCTTTGTGGTACTGGGGTAAATGAAAATGAAAATGATCCCCCAAGAGGCTGGCGACATTTGATTGCTGCTGTTTTTTGCACGCTTAAAATACTACAGTACATAAAGTTGCCTAAAGTGTAATGCAATTTACTATTCTCATCACTGTTGACTGCAACAATACAACTTTCTACTGTAGATGATATTCAACTTCTTTTTTACTTTTTATTAATGTATCATTTCAACTTTCAAGGGCCGTGTAGTACTTTTAAATCAATGTATTAATAGATTTCAGAACAATACATTTTCATATTACTCCCTCTGTCCCAATTAGTAAGATACTTTACGGTTTACGATGTTTGACCAACGATAAAGCAAATTGATCCCTGTGAATACTCAAATTAGTTTTAAAAAATAAAATTTACATATTCAGAAACTACATTAAAACCGCTACAAAACCTGCAAAAAATAATTCAAATATCATAAACTTTTGATATATAAAGTAAAAGATTAAGAGTGATTTATGTTGACCAAGTGAATAGTAAATGTATCTTACAATTTGGGACTGAGGGTGTATTATATTCTATATCAGTGCACTATTACAACCTTCAAATTGGAGTTCCCAATGCCGCATGCACTGCCTAAGGCTCTTCTTTATAGGTTGCTTTATAGGAATTTACCGTTCGGGATATGAAAATTTCGGGATTTTTAGCATGTTTTGGGGGCTGATTTTTGGTAGAGTTCCCCTTAAGTCTAAGTTTTAGGATTTTACTAGAAACATGAAATTAAGTTAACAAGTGTAAATCGTATATAGTTGCTCATCGAAGAACCGTTGCCCGTGGACGCCTTATACACACGCTCAAGGGTAAAAACTTCGCGTGAATCAGGTAAGTCATCACCACCTATACATGATAGTTCTAAATGAAGTATGGAAGTCTATCTAATTATAATGGATATATTCGCTTGGATACTTAAACTTGTATGACATGATGTTATGTGAATATTTTCTTGGATACTTGAACTTGTATGATATGATGGTATGTGAATTCCAAATAATTTGGATGCATTGACAGGTGGTGTTAATTATAGAATGTTTGAGATGATTAAATGCAAGTTATTCAAGTTCTATGTTTAATTGTAGTTGGGTTCATATAGAACCAACGATGAAAGGAAGTTATGTTGATAATGATATCTAATGAATGATAAGAGATGTTCTAAGGTAATCGTGCCCCCAAGTAATTACCTGAGCTGAGCGTAGCAGGACATCCTCTCGCGGGGAGTCCTGGGGTTCCTTCTGATGGGCTGCGGGCTAGCTACGCGAGGTCATCAGTGAGGGGCCAGGACACGAGCTACGGACCCATAAACTCAAGGATAAAATGAGAAGAAAGAATGATGAATGAAGAAACCTTTTAGGTTCCGATACTTGAAGTTGTTGCTTGTCATGATATGCGTTTTTGTAAGTGGATATGCTCTGTGTGTTGAGTACTCTAGCTTATGTATCTATTTGTAACTAGCTAAGACTTTTCTATTTTAATGGATGTAATGGTGACTTACTAAGCAAATTTTGCTTACGAGAGTTTTGTTATCTCGTGTTCTCATGTATAGGTAATCAATAAAGAATGGAAGTCTGAGAGAATGTACGGAGCTGGTGACAAGGCTATGGATGGGTTAACGGAGTAAACCTGGCTGTTTCTTATGTTTTACTTTTGTACTCTGACACTTTTACGGGTTGTGTAATGTTTGGTTTTAAAAATCCTGATCAGGTGTAATAACTTTGTTTTAAGGGGGGTTGTTGTTGATCACTTGACATCCTCGTTATGAAGTTTGCTTACGTATATAAGAAATAAAGTTTCATGACGAGACTTTGTATTTTTAATTTTCTGCTTTATATATCGAGTCTTGTTTATGTTGAGTATGGTAATGGCCATTTGGGGACGGTCGTTACAAGAAACTTATACACCACTGGGAAAATTAAAACCTGTGATACCCATGTTGTGCAGGATGATGATCATGTTTTGCTTCATCGATTCATTCTACTCTTCCCTAATTAAGTTGGTCTCGTAGTGAACTTTTAAGAGATTTGATATCTTCATATGACCATTCACAGTATTGTGATCCATTTAATCTGAGGCTAAATGCCTTTGTGTATCCAACATTTATCACACCGAAGTCACGAGCACGACCATAGTGGTCCTTCTTTTCTCCAAGAGCATAGTACAAAGCATATCATCCTTGTTCCGTTGAGGTTTTGTTTCTTCTTATACTCTACGTGTTACCATATATATGTGTGTGTATGTGTCAAAAAATAAGCGAATAGAATTAAACATAACTAATTAAAGGAAAAATATGTATTTATTATTACATACTCCCTCCGTCCCACATTGAGCTTCACAGTTTGACTTACACACATATTAAGGAAATAAACTTACCATGAGGTAAATTTTACTGTTTTGACACTGTTTCGACACTGTTTAGCATTGATTTGCACTGTTTCGACACTGTTTTGCACTGTTTGACACTGTTTTGATGAAGATTAACTTGTCATGTAAGGAAATGAGAACTTGTTTCTGAGACATCCAAAAAAGGAAAATGGGAAGTTCATTGCGGGACGGAGTGAGTATTTCTTAGCCACTTCATTCGTCTACTCTTTAGGAATGACTTGATTTTCATCTTTGTTATGAGCATGCATTGCACAATACCCATTATCGTCTCCATCAAATCGTGTTGTGCTTCAGCCAATGAAAGTATAGTAAGATGTTTGTTTGCTAATAACTCTAACCGAATCGAATCAAATTAAACTGAATCGAATCAAACTGAAGTGTAGCATAATTTTCATTTGAATAATATTTTTTCCTATCCATTTTAAAAGAGAAAACTATCAAATAAACCCTCGTACTATATCAGAAATGTCAATTAAACCCTCGTACTTTGAAAACACTCAATTAAACCCTCGAACTTCTAAAAAACGTTCAATTAGACATTTTAGCAGGTTAAGAACCGGTTTCCAGGTTAACTGCTCATGTGGCGGCCACGTGACAGGCCACATGACGATTATTTTCTTCTCTTTATTTTTCTCCTCTTTTTTCTATTTCTCTTTCCTATTCTTTTCTACTTCTGGTTCCCCTCTTTCCGGACTTACCCATCCTTCCATCTTCCCAGGACTACCCCATCTGCATCAAGATTCAAGAGACCTCCCTGGCTGCTATATTGTAAACCGAGGTGACTTCCTTCCTCATGTCCAAGATCCTTAACAAACACGGCTCTTCTTGTCGGGACCTCCGGCGAACTCCGCAAAAGGGCTGCAACTCCGGTGAGGTTGGCTCCTCTCCTCTATGCGAACAGGAAGAGAGTAAACGGTGCTGGTTTGGACTGCTGCCATTTATCCCTATTGTTTTAGGCTCAAATTGAGAAGCAAAATTAGATCCTCCGGTGCGGAAGAAATTTTATTGGTTCCTCGGAACTCCTTGGTGGCTTTGTCGTAAGCCCAGTCAGCTTCTTACGACGAATCGAAGGTCCAAAGCAAACGCGGCTGCCATAATCTACGGCGAAGTCCGACAACCTTCGGAGACGACAACCTCTCTCTGGTGAAAAAAATAAATAAAGAAACAAAGAGAGAACGAAATAAAGAAAGGAAAAACGAAAAACGGAGAGAAAGATGAACGACGACGGGGAAAAGGTCCTTGCCGTCCTTGGGAAGAGGGAAAATGGCGAACATAGATGCGGAAGTTGCCAGGAAAGAGAGAAAAGCAAGGAAAAATAAAAATAAAGAGAAAAGAAAATAATCACCATGTGGCATGCCACGTGGTCACCACGTGAGCCGTTAACAGGGAAACCGGTCCTTAGAGCATCTCATTATTTGTGACACATGCTTTTAATTATTTGAGCATTTCATTATTTGAGTTTTGACATTCATCCCATGTGGATAGACATTCCATACATTAATTAGAATTTAATTAACCATGTCTATCTTCCGTAACAGCCTGATTCACAATTTGTTAAAAAAATCATTAATTGAATAATTAACTTTCAATATTTCATTTAATGTGCAGGTCATCCTCTAGCAGTCTAGTGTCAATCGTTTCATCTCAGCAAATGCTTTTAGGGAGGTTAAAAGCAGCTATTGATTCGAGCAAGGTTATGAGGAAAAGGGTCGAGTATGATAAATGGCTTTTATTGCTTGAGGAGGATTTGTATCGATATAGTGGAGGCGCTTTTTTTTTAGGAATTGAGCACTAGTTTTTACCCAAAGATCTGAAAACATGTCACTTCATACCCACGATGAGTTTACTTGGATGAGTCAGCCTGTTTAACAGGCTGTTTAGAATAGAAAGTGGGATTCACAGCGTCGACATTTATTTTTGACACTTCAGCACCACATGACTGAAGAAAGAAAGCGCTGGAGTAGAAAAATAAGAGCGACTTTCTTACAGTGTGACATGGCCATCTTTTTTAATGTTAACACCCATGCATTGAAGATGCTCTTAACCTGCTAAAAAGTCTAATTGAACATTTTTTAGAAGTTCGAGGGTTTAATTGAGTGTTTTCAAAGTACGAGGGTTTAATTGACGTTTCTGATATAGTACAAGGCTTATTTGATAGTTTTCTCATTTTAAAAATAAACGAATGGAAACTGATAAAAATCGAAAACGGATATGGTCATCCTGGCTCTAAGCCTCTAATCATATTATGAACTTGTACTTATAACCTAACTGTTCGGTAAAATTGATCTTAATTGTAATTTTCCCATTTTCATTGCAAGAACAAAAAAGCACAAAGAAAAGGGAAGGGAAAGAGGCCCGAGGCACTGCACTGTTGATCTCTGGACATTCTGATCACTACATTTCCAGGGAAGCCATGGCCGAATCACCACCGCCGTCGACGCCAGTCGCCACTATTGCCTCATCCCTGCCAAGTTACATTCACCCGCGGCGGGAGCCCTTTGAGCACGGCCTTCTCCCAATACCCAAGCTTATCTTCACCGACGGCACTCAAACCCTAGGCCCGATCAAGGATAAGCTGCTATCCCTATCTGCAGAAACGGCGTACCGTGTCAACTCCCAATCCATTGCCGAAACTCTTCAGATCTCACCTGATCACGCGCGCCTTGTTCTTGAGACAATTGCTGCAGTCCTGCACAGCGAATCTGATCCACTTGTTTCTGCAAATCCATCTGAGATTGATTCCGTTGGCGTAAGCGTATTCGATTTGGTGGTGTTTCTCTACATTCAGAGTTATAAGAGGTTGCTTCCCAAGGGGCATAAGGACTCCGCTGCCGTGGCTGATGTTTGGCCCTCCACTTCAGCATTCGATGGTTTCTTATCTGCTCTGTCGCCACTCCAAGTAAGAAGTTTAGCATCCTTTATGTCTTTTTGAAATGACAGTTGCTTATTTCTTTGATATATACAATAGCGGGTTTGTGTTTTTTTTAATGCCGCTCCTGTATATTCCTGAGAGCGGTGCTTGCCTTGCTTGCAAACTTATGGATTTTATATTGTGATCCTTCAGTGTTCACTCAAAACAATGTTTTTTATCAGGCAATACATAATGCAGCGTACTCAATTTGTTCGGTTGACTGACGATGTCATTTCTTGAACTGGACTGATTATGAGAATTGAATGAAATTTTCTACTTTACTTGGGTACCACTCCTCTCACTCCCACAAGGAATAATCTTTTTCGATTTTCTTGAAGTTGCTGTTGACTATCACCAAATTTGTTGAAGAATGTTTTTATCCAAGTGTTGGTGCTTTTAGCTAATCTTTATATTGTTGCATGAATATTTAACAGAATCTTTAGCTATATGAGTTTACCATTTATTGAACTTAGCATCCGTAGCTCCTAACACACTTGTAATTACATGGTATTTTCACATGAAGACTTAACATGACCTTTCCTTTCATTACTGCAGCTAGTACGCAGTAATAGTCGTAGGTTCATGCCATCACAATCCGATGAAGAGGCTCATCAGTTATCCTATTTACAGAAGCACTTGGGCAACATTCTCTCTCTTTTGGTAGACTCAGTTGAAGGAGAGGCTGAAGAATCACTGGTTTGTGAATTGTTTACTCTATTTATGTTGGGGCATACAATTTAGGGATATAATTGATCTATTTGCCACTAGCTCTACTTTTGAGACAATAAGTTTTGAAAGATAATTTCATTGATACTTAGTATGGGGAGTAGTGAACTTTGTGATGTTCATCGGTTATTCGGTTACCATTGCTCCTTGCGGCCATGCATATTGTGTGACCTGTTGTGCTGACATTTGTTGAATTGATATGATACAAACTATTACAGGTTTTGTCTATGGAAAAATTTGAGCATCTTGGATATCTAATATATTTTGGAGACAAGGGACTTGAACGGATTCCATTGAGTCAAAGTGCTCCCTTTTTTGCAAATTCTGATCCAGACATGCCCGCTGTTCCTGTTCCTGCAGCCCAAGTACATGAGTGGCTTTTACAAAACATTGCATCTGCTTTGGAACATATTGCTGAGAGAGCTTCTGCCAAGGAAAATGGGCCCTCCAGTTTCTCTGATCAGGATATTCAAATGACTGATGTCTCTACAAGTCCAGCAAAGACCACATCTGGTCCCCGGGGTCCTAGTATTATTGAGGGGATCTCAAAATCATCTTATATAAGGCAGGCAAATGATCTTAAAGTCTCTTCTGTAAAAGTAAGTTCTCAATTTTCATACTTAGAAATGGTTAATACCCTTATTACACTAATTAAAAGAGCGTTTTCTTTTAAAGAACATTACTATCTTGGTCTGATAGCAAATGCACTTGTTATATCTCACACCTGTTCAACCAATATACTTAATGGCTGAGTAATTTTAGAAGAGTGAACTCTCCACCACTATCTTGGAAGCGATTCCTAAAAAAACACGTTGGCAACCATGAGAAGTGCGGCTTCTATGTGGACTTCAGGAAAAAGCCTGGAACTTAGTTTTGGTTGAATTCGATCTCTTAGCATTTATTGTTTAATGCAATACCTAATCTATGATGATGGATCCCTCTTTCATCATAGTAGTGTAACACTATGAATAAGCCTTTCCACCTATTTCTAATATGATGAGTGCCACTGATTGAGTCACAAGTAATGATGATGTGGGCCATCATCTTTGTAGTTGGGCCCTATTTTTTTTACTTTTTCTTTTGGAAATTCTGACATCATTTCAACAGGATTTGATAATTTGATTCTCTACTTGGTTACATATTATATCTTTGGAATTAACTGTACTTTCCCCTTTCCGTTTCCTTTCACGTTATAGGTTGTGAACTGCCATGAATCAGTCATTTATATACTGGCTCCTTTGAGATATGCAACAATCTATGGATGTTCTGATGCAACAATTGTCTTAGGGGCCGTTGGCAAGGTAGTTATTAAGAATTTGGGTGTCTTTCAAGCCATCAATGTATTTTATTTTCGTACTCCTTAGGAGTCAATTATGGTGGTGAAATTGTTATTCATTAGAAATCATCAAAAGGTGCAAGTAAGAAAAATATTACTTGTATGCCTACAGCCTACTTAAAGGCTTGTCAGGATGCTTGAATTGCAATCATGCACCAATGCACGTCACTTCAGGATTAACGTTTCTGTGATAAATCATGGGCTAATATGTCAAATACCTCTATTTTGTGAATGACTTTTGGATTTTCCTTTGTCAAGTTGATGTCCTCAATAATCGTACAATACCTTTTTCAGGCAGTCAGAGTTGAACATTGTGAACGAGTACACGTGGTTGTGGCAGCTAAGCGCATCTGTATTGTCAATTGTCGTGAATGTGTGTTCTTTTTAGGAGTAAATCAACAACCACTTATTGTTGGTGATAACCATAAATTGCAGGTTTGCCGATTTTATTTTTTGTACCTCAAGTCGTAAAGCGTCACTAAAAGCACGTGTCTTAAGATTTCCTTTTAACGATGTCTAATGAGTAATAGTAAAATGTAATAGCCAGTGGTTCGGCCGCACTCTATTATAGTGATATGCACATATGACATCATATCAAGAATGCGACATCATATGTAAACTAAAAAACAAACTTGTTTGTGTGACATCATGAATCTCACTTTGCCCCACCCCCATATCAGTTGAGAAATGCAATGATTATTAAAGGCTTTAAAGCTAATGTGGTTGGTTAGGAATTTAGATGATCTTGTAGAAAAAACAAGAATAAAGAGTAAAAGATATCACCAGTGCACATGGGGATATATAATGATTCCAGATGACTCTCACATCACATTTTTTTAAGTTGAAGTTCTCAGAAGAAGATTTCCAGTCTGATTCTTGTTTTATCCATTGCTTTAAGAGGCGTTTGTGAGACTTACCTCAAGTTGAGGCGCCTTTATTACCTAGTGTGAGGCTTACACCTCTAATGAGTGATTTATGGTAGCCTCATAAGCCTTATGGCTTTTTATTATTAAAGTCTTATTGGTTTTATTATTCATTAAGACGTAATTGGCCTTTGATTTTTTAAAGAATATAATCGCTTAAGCACATACAACCACAAGGCTTCATTAAGAAGACATGTGACTCTTCTTCTCACAAACATCACACCACTCCTCCTCTCATGTCAGTTTAGGACTTGGGAGTCATCTGTTAATTGTTTGGCCTTTAGAGTATTTTCTGAAGGAGTCACTTTTTAATTTTTTTCCCTATTCTATCCTTCTTTGAAAGGGAGCCTTGGCACACCGATTATGGTGTTGCTGTGTGACCGAGAGGTTCACGAGTTCAAGTCCTGGGAGAGGCCTTTTGTCAAAATGACAAGAGAAGGCTTGCCCTCCTATACACCCTTGTGGTGAGACCGTGAGACCCTTGACCCTCGCTTTGCGGGGATGCCAATGTGCATCAGGCTGCTCCTTTGTCCTTTGATTTGAATCTTGTATTACCTTGATATCTTCTTCTCCTTCAAATCTCTGTTTAGTTCTTTTTTTACGTTTATTGCATTTAGTCTTTAATCTTAAACTTCACTGTTCAGCTAATAAAAATTAGAAGTGAAAACATAATAAAGATGCAGTTGTATGAACTACGAAGAATCAAAACTACATGACTCAATTTAAATATTTGGACAGCGGTTTTATTGTATGTGTGCAACTGTGAGAATGTTTTAAACTTGCTCTGAAATGTTTTTTGTGGCTTCAGAGTATCTACTTTACGACTTGCTATGTGAAATACTGTGGTGTTAGATATATCTAACTTCATTGCCCCTTCTGTCTTTTTTGCTGGTCTTGTCTCTCTGATTGAACTGCCAGGTGGCTCCGTTCAACACAGTTTACTCACAGTTAGAGGAGCACATGAAACAAGTTGGTGTATACCCTACCATTAACAAATGGGATGAACCCGTGGCACTTGGAGTGGTTGACCCACATGACTCACTATCACATCCTGCTGGCGTCTCGGATGTTCAGACCGAGTCCGCTAACCGTTTAGACCCTGATCAATTCACCGACTTTTTGGTAGGTCCCTTATCTTTTTAGTGGGCTAACCTGAAGTTTTCTAAAATGACTTATCATTCCCATGCTGAGTTTTGTTTATTTTAACAAATACTTTGAACATCCCTTTTGCTCATGCACCTAAAATTTGTGTTGTATAGAATTTAACTTCTTATGTTTTTAGCTGTAATTTTTATTGTGCTATTCATTTTAGCCTATTGCCTTTTATCATTCTTTTCCTGTTTCGATACAATTTATTTTTCACAGATTCCTAATTGGTTTGAAGCCCAACAATCTGGTCCGACAAAAGACAACCCCTTTCCTTTGCCAGATGCTTATATGGCTTCTCAGCAGAAAAATGTATGTGCATGTCTAATATTTCTTTCTGTGGCGGTGTAGCCTATGAACTTCTATCCCATTTAAGGAGCTTTCTTTAAACTTTTTTGTTTAATAATTTCAGTTAAAATATTGAAATTGTCAGTTTTTGTTCAATTATTTCAGCAGAATTATTTTTTTATTCACTTAACTGTTTTTATTCTTATTGGATATTCAGCAAAAGAATCTTAGTGAGGTTAAGCAAATTTTGAGAGAAACTGAGCTTGAAGATGGCCGGAAACGGGAATTGTCTAGTTCTCTTCATGTGCTGTTTAAGGAATGGTTATATGGTAATGGTGTTTGCATCCACAGCTTGTTTTTTTCATTGTTTTGTTACATGGCATATGGGTACCATGCACTTTTTGGACTGTTTTATACGACTTGTATCTTTTTATTCATTCCCTTTTAAAAATAAATGAAGTTTTTTCCATCTCAAATCTGTTTTATGTGCTTTCATTTTGCCCAAGTTTTTCTAGTTTATTCACGCTCATTAATTTAAAATGAGTTCAGAAGAGGAAAAACATTACTGCTTGCAACTGAATGTTGCTTGGAACTGAGAGAGCTATTTTTCTATCTATAAATGTATATTGGTTATTGTTAGTATAGTTGTTATTATTATTAATATTTTTATTAAGATAGTTCTACAGATCATATCTAAGAACTCTTACAAATCTCGGTGACCATGTAGTTATAATATGAAATGTGTCCTTAAGTGTCCTCATTATCATCTCTGTTAGATGTATCTGTTTAAATGAAAATGCTTGCTAGACAATATAATGAGTTATTAATGCATACTGCAAATTTGCTTTAAGTGAGTCCTTTCTTTTGATCTGGCATTGAATGATATGTAATCTAAATACTTTCTGAATAAGAGGTAGTGGTTTCTTTGTTTATTCTTTGATGTTATTCAACTGTATTTGTCTTTTTTTACAACCTATAGTTAAATGCTCTCCCTTGTAGCTAAACTATTGATATTCAGTTGTTATAGGCTCTTTAGGGTTTTGGAGGTGAGGGTTTTGGGGGGAGTGTTTTATATCTTGGTATGAAGAAGACCTCCAACACCTTTCCAAACACTCCATCCAAATAGACCTTTTAGGGCCTCTTCGAATGGAGGAGCTTGGAGTGGAATGTTTTGGAGGTCTTAGCACTGTCATGAACGGAATGTTTTAGAAACAAATAAAGGATAGTTGTGAAAGGCATACATTTACATATAAGCCAAACCCAAGGCTCTTTTTTAAATCTCAATTATATATCAAGATATAGACTTAGCCCTGAAAGCTTTTCCCTCCAAACCCATACATCCAAATCAGACCCTTGGGAAAATATATTAAGTTCCCTGAACCTGTCCTTCCATAATCTTCCTTGCCTTGAACTCCTGCATCTTTGTTTGAAACACATGAATATTTTATTTTGTACTCGTCTGATCGTTTTTTGGTTTGTTTCCATTAAAAATAACAGCCTCAGGGAATGTGAGGCAACTGTACTGCTTACAAGGAGAATAGACTTACTTGATAATATGGGAATTTTAGAAAGAAGGCTTGTGGGGCCCGTTAGTAATTTCAGCACACTCACCATCTTTGAGCACCACTCCCCTGCCAGGCATTGCAACCAAAGGTTTTGAAATTATCGAACCATGCATCTGCCACTGACTTCTTGCTATGGTTTTTTCGAAAGTAGTAGTAAAAGTGTTCTGAAGTTCTTTGTGATAGTTTTGAACTGATACACATCCAAGCATTAGATTTGTGAAATACATATCTCATCGGTGAGAAGCAAAGGCAACGCAAGGCAAGCAGAAGTGCTTAAGTGGTTTTGTCATCCACCAAGTAAAAAGATCTTGTAGTTCCGTTTGGCTATTGTTGTTGCTGCTGCTAATGCTTGGCTTTCTCAATGTTTTCAATATTAAAGCTTGTGTAATTTTCTTCTTGTATCTAATAAATTTCAACTTGATGTTTCATTAGTTATGAAATATTCCATTAGTTATGAAATAATGGTCAGATAGCCTTTGCCCCTAGGCATGGACCCGGGCCAGGCTCCGGGCCGGTTCAAGCCGGGCTTTTTTTTCAGGATGTTGGGCCCGGAACCGGCCAGGGTTGATACCGAACTCGGGCCCGGTTCAATGTAAATTTTTTTTGGCTTTGTAATTAGGATGTTTTTACTTGGACTGTAATTCCTCCCAGATCGGACCAGTTTAGATCAGATCATACTTGGATAGTAATAAAAATACAAAGAAATCAGACCAGTTCAAACCAGACCAGCAAATTACAATCCAAGTAAAAACATCCTTAACCCCCGATCCCCCTTCCTCACCCCCCAACCCCCCCCCCCCCCAAAACATCCAGCCCTACCCAAGGAAAAGAAAAAAAAAATTGAAAAAACAAAAAAATGAACCGGGCCCGGTTCATGAAAAATAGTGCCCGAGCCTGGCCCGCCCAAACCGTCCAAACCGAGCTAAAGCCCAGAACCGCCCATCCCCAACTAGGGGTGGACCGGTTCCGGTTTGGGCCCGGTTCGGGCTTGGGCCTGGCCGGGCCTCGGTTCAAGAAGGGGAGGCCCGGAACTGGCCCGGGTAACCCCCGGGTCCGGGCCGGGCCTCGGTTCTATTTTTTTTTTTTGGGCTTTTCCTAGTTAACCCCCAACCCTCCCCCACACCCCCAAACCAACCCTAACCACCTCAAATGACCCAAAATGCCCAGCCCAACCCAAAAACTTAAAAAAAATCAAAAAAAAAAAAATTGGCCCGGCCCGGGCCCAAACCGGCCGGGCCGGTTCACCTTTTGAAGGGCCTGAGCCCGAACCGCCATCCCACCGGGCCGGTTGGCCCGAACCGGTTCACTGGTCCGGGTCGGGCCCGCACAGTAGCGGGCTGGTCCGGTTCTGGGCCGGTTGGCCCGACCCGAGTCCACCCCTATCCCCAACCGGTCCGGTCCGGTCCGGGCCTGCATAGCAGTGGGCCGGGCTTGTTCCCGGGCTGGTTTAGCTCGGTTGGGTCCATCTCTATTTGCCCCCTACCTTGTCTTGTACGCCCGTACATCTGAAAACAACTCCATCTTGCTCATTTATAGATGGATACTTAGATATAGGGATGGACCCAACCGGTTCGGCTCGGCCTGGTTGGTGCTAATCGGGCCCGGGCTTTTACCTGGTTGGGGAGGGTTGGGCGGGCCGGGCTCGGGCCCTGTAGGGCAGTTTGGGTCGGGCCCGGGCTTTTTTTTTGTTATTTCAATTTTTTTGTTTTTCTTGGTTAGGGCTGGATGTTTGGGGGATTTGGGGGGTGGGGGTGAAGGGGGGGGGGGGGGGTCGGGGTTAATTAGAAAGCAAAAAAAAAATTAAATGAGTTGCCCCATTTATGGCCACACAATTAGGGGTGGGGTAAAAATGGGGTACAACTTTGGGGTACCTTTAGCATAGCTCTTAACTAAAATTCGAACTATTTGTTTTACAATCTAACAACTTTATTTAACAAGTTTAACAATTAACTAGTTTCTATAGGAGATTAATAAATGTAACAATTAACTAATTTAACAATTAAACAATTAATTTTGAATTAACTAGTTTACCAATTAACTAAAATTCGAACTATTTGTTTAACAATCTAACAACTTTATTTAGCAAGTTTAACAATTAACTAATTTTTATAGGAGATTAATAAATGTAACAATTAACTAATTTAACAATTAAACAATTAATTTTGAATTAACTAGTTTACCGATTAACTAAAATTTAAACTATTTGTTTTACAATCTAACAACTTTATTTAACAAGTTTAACAATTAACTAGTTTTTACAGGAGATTAATAAATGTAACAATTAACTACTATGATAAGAGATTAATAAATGTAACAATTAACTAATTTAACAATTAAACAATTAATTTCGAATTAACTACTTTACCAATTAACTAAACTTCGAACTATTTGTTTTACCAATTAACTAAAATTCGAACTAAATGTAACAATTAACTACTTTTATAGCAATGAACTAATACTAAAATGATAAGTGAAACAATTAACTAGTAACTGTATAAGTAGATATACTTAATATATATATATATTTATAAGTAGATAATAAGTAGATTAACTAGTAATATATAATATTACGTTTATAGTATATATAATATAAGTATATTACTATAAGATTAGTAATACACTTATATATAATACTTTAATATATATAAGTATATCTAAAATGTAAATATAAGTAAATAAATTAGAGATAATTATATATGTGATATCAAATATGTAATATGTAAATATAAGTAAATAAATATAAGTAACAATAATATAATAATTAGATATTAAAATAAGTAGATAATAAATATAATATATGTAGTTATAAATTTGAGAAGATGAAAAAGATTAGTAGAGAATAGAGATTAGAGAGTAGGAATATTTGGAGAAGATGTGTAGTAAATTGTATAGAAAAAATGGATTATTTATAGATTTTTTGTACCCCCCACCCCGTGACCCCCTTAGGGTTGGACTCGGGCCGGGCCAACCGGCCCGAAACCGGACCGGTCCGCTACTATGCAGGCCCGGACCAGCCCGGTGACCCAGTTGGTTGGCCGGTTCGGGCCACCCGGCCCGATGGGATGGCAGTTCGAGCTCGGGCCCTTCAAAAGGTGAACCGGCCCAGCCGGTTCGAGCCCAGGCCGGGCCATTTTTTTTTTTTTTGATTTTTTTTAATTTTTTGGTTGGGCTGGGTATTTTGGACCATTTGAGGTGGTTAGGGTTGGTTTGGGGGTGAGGGGGAGGGTTGGGGGTTAACTAGGAAAAGCCAAAAAAAAAATAGAACCGAGGCCCGGCCCGGACCCGGGGGTCACCCGGGCCGGTTCCGGGCCTCCCATACCTTGAATCGAGGCCCGGTCGGTTCAAGGCCCGAACCGGGCCCGAACCAAATCCATCCCTAGACCCCCTGGAAGGCTCCCAACGGCTATATAGCCGTTTGGGTTCAATTACAACGGCTCTAAGGCCTGTTTGGATGGCTAAAAGTTTTTTTTTATGTAGTCGTTGGCCCGGAGTCCGGACCGGGCTCGAACCGGCCGGGCCGGGCCGCCTGTTTATTGAACCGTGCCCGAACCGCTCCCCTCCCCCGGGCTGGGTCAAAGCCCGAACCTCCCATTCAATAACCAGGCCGGACCGGTTCAGTTTGGTCCATCCCTAGGGCAAAGCATCATTTATTGCTGCTGCAGATTTGCAGGCACACAAGAAATACATGGTCTTTCCTGTTACCAACTTACAATAATATCACAAGAAATTCATTTTTTTACAATAATATCACATGTGCATCCTTAAGCAGATTAAAAAACAGGAGGTTAGGTAGATCCTAAATTCCTACCCACTTGGGTAGTAGTGTCTACCATGACCATGCATGCAATGTCACAGGCAAGACCAGACAGCCCGTTCTCATGGTCGAGACCGTCGAGTAGCCACTCCAATCGTATGTAACTCTATTCTTCTGCTGAAGGGGGGTATTATCTACAGTAACATTTTTTTTATTTTTTTGTAATATAAAACAGGAAAACATGGTAGTACAGAGTTACACCACCAGCCATGAATGATGATAAAGTAGAAGACACAGACATCATCAAGTCTTAGAAAACAACACTGCACGCTCCCCACTATTTTGTGCCGGAAGCAAGCAATTAGATAGATAGAAAAACTGATTCATTCAGCAGCAGCATGAGCATGTCCGGGTTTGGGCTGGGTGGTGTAAGGGTAGTACTCCTTGCCATTGTCAACCCTTGTGGTTTGACCTCCCACGTCAATCACAGCAGAGGTCACTGCAAGTGCTGCACCAGCTGAGATTGCTGTCGCGATACTCTTCCCTGTCCACATTCAATGTATATATGTATGCAACAACGGATGTCTTGTTCATGAAACAACAAATTTACAATTTTTCCAGTAAATCCAAAGAGTACTAAACACCAATTCAGTTATCATCTCACATCTATACAATAAAATACTAGAGGCAAACTAAGGATTCTATGTTTATCAGCCAGATTTTCCATCAAATTCTTACTTCATCATATGTTGACAGAATGGGTTGGGAATGCGAAAAGAGGGGTCAAATGCATAAATGGTACCTTAATTATTGGTATTGTTGCGATTTGGTATCTTAACTCTCAAATGAATCAAATCAGTACCATAATTATACGTAAATGCAAAGGTTATTAGGATCGCGATCTAGATTGCTGACTCGTACGATTTTACGCGTCAAGGTAGCAAGCACGAGCTGGATCGTACAGAAGATCGGAAAACGCAGGAAGATCGACGGATCGTAAGATCATAAGATCGTCGACTCAGTCGATCTTCGTCATCCATGCCTGAGGGAGAGAATCTGACTCACTTGGTCAGAATTCCGAAACGACTCTTAGAGTCGGAATCGAAAACGATGCAGGTTCTAAAAAAAGCTTTTACGCAGACCCAACTCCCCAAGCTACGTACCTGAGCGATGACCAGAGCGACTGAGCGACTCACCTTCTTCAGTTCTTCTCTAAAATGGTTGGGGGAGTGTCGCACTGTCGCCTACTCATCTTTGTCCCATGTCCATTCTCCGTATAATCTATTTTCAATTCACCTCGTAAACTTTTATTCGTCCCTCTCTGTTTACAGTCTTACACTCTTTTATTGTTTTTAATTTTTTTGTTCTGTTCGTCAACAGTTGGGAAACTGGGCAAGTAGTTCTGGAAGAGTGCATCCCAGAACTTCTATCACATTTTGTTTCAAGATGTCTTTTTTAATTTATCTTAAGTTTGTGATGCCAAGTGTTTTAATTCAAAAATTACATAAAGTTATTAATATCCTAAAAGTTTTAAGTTTAAATATCTATATACATACAAATCTATATATAGATATCTCTAATATATATATATATATATATATATATATATATATATATATATATATATATATATGCATGGTATCTTTGCCTCTAGGATCTTACGATCCGAGTTACGATCCACGAGTTACGATCTCCTAGCCCCCTTCCGATCTGAGCTAGGATCCACGAGTTTAACAACCTTGCGTAAATGTTTCAACTTGAGATGTTATTCAAATTTGCGGCAAAAAAAAATTATTCATGGCGATCAAAATTCCACGTGTAGAGTCACCCTATAGTGATCATATGGATAAAAATAAGGTGAAGTAGACTTTACGGATAGAATTCTGGCAGCCACGTGTGATTTTTTGACCGCAAATTTATATAAAATCTCGATTTGAAACATTTACGTATAGTTAAGGTACTGTTTTGATTCATTTAAGAGTTAAGGTATCAAATCGCAACAATACCAATAGTTAATGTACCTTTTATGCATTTGAAATAGATAGGACAAAACATAACTTTTGAAGCTGAAAAGAAATGAAGTTCCAGTTCTACACTTCTACCCATGCGTAAGATTCAACTCGAGAAAAGTTCAAATTCCACATGTACGCTTTACATTTACTACCTCTGTCCCAAAATAAGTCGTATTTCACTAAAGTGAAATATGATAATTTTAATAAGAACCCAGTCAAACAACTATTGGAAATGATGTATTCTGTTAAAAATTTAAATTTTTACGTTGGTTTAACCAAGGATAACATACTTAACTTGTTTGGGACATTTTTCTGTTGAAAAATACATTGAATATAATGACATTACAACCTTGAGTTTATGTATGACTTTCTTTTAGGCGGAGGCAGTATTTGTTATTTGAACTGCATTTTTTGGGAACAATTTAAACTGAATTTAACATATTTCAGTAATTTAACTTCAATGAAAAATTACAGCATATTCAATGAAATTTAGATTCTTTTGTTGACCCATGATAGTCAAAACAGTTCTGCTGCATGACACTTTTTGGATGGATTGGAGCTATTTTATTAAAACAGTTCATGTTATCTGACCCTAAAATTCTTTGGGAATAAGGCTCGGATGTTGTTGTTGTATATGACTCACCGCATTCTGCCATATCGAAACCAGTACAATTTCAGCCCATTAAACAACTTCAGACAAAATTTATCATCACCAAACAGGTGCAAAAAAGTAATATGCTTAGGTGAGTGGGAGACAAAATCAAACCTTTATAGCCAAACACGGAAGCGCCAGCTGCAAATCCACCAACAGCACCATTCATGAAGTCTCTCTTCGCACGATAATTCTGCATCAACTGCTCGACACCTATATATACTCCACCTACAGCAGCAAATGTCACCCCATAATTTCCCATCATCTTCAGCGTCCGCACCAAACCAGGCAGTGCAACACTTCTCTCCACACGTGGTACGTCGTACCATGTTGCAACTATAGTGCCCCAAATGGTTCCAGCAGCCAGACCGGCGGTTGCACCTTTTACTGTTTTCATCACCGCAGTGTCCTCATCCTCATAGTATCTCAGCTCTGCGCCTTTGGGGTCCATACCTTAAAAAGAAACCAGTGACATCTATGCTGGTTACGGAAAGGAATCAACATATACTGATATACTGATTTAAATAAATTCCCAAAAGCACTGCATTAAAAAATACGTAGTATTAAGTAGTATTGAATAAACACGGTTCAAAACTAACTTTCTTTTGTTTTACAAACAATTCAAGTGAATTAAACAATCCATAAGGCAACAGCCACATAAACAAAATTAGTCTCTACAGCAAACAGCTTATAGATTGAGGCCCATCTACGAGGATTTATAGGCTCATTCTCGTAGTTCTACTTGTCAGCATAGTAAGTAGCATAATTGGCTGAAATAGATTTTACCAGTTGCTATTCCTTTCGAAAGCTATTATCCAGCCCTAAATCTCAAATCAAGGGTGTCAACTGTCAATAACATGAACCACGGAAAAATCTCACGGGTCATCCAAACAAGTAATCTCATCTTCCATTCGTAATTGTATCAAAGGCATTCAGCATCATATATGTTCATGAAGTCTCCATGCCCTAATATCCCCTTTTACACATTCCACGAATCCATGGAATTCTATCTCTCTCTCACTCGTTCTTTACAGATCTCCAGAGGCCAATGACCTGACATTCCACTCTGTATATGGACGCCTACGTCTGGATATGATTATATTCCAACTTTAGAAGCTGTTATTCATGAATTCGCGTAGATCTCTTCATTTCATACTCTTATAGGAGTATATACTAGTATTACTGAACAATAGATATTAGCATAGACACAGTGTTTAGAAGTGAAAATTCGTCCATAGATCTAAAAATTCGTTAATGAAAAAACATCCAATACTTGTGTTTCATATATGGTTAATTGAAACAAGACGTGATTTCATTTGAGAATATTTGGAAAGGGTGGAAGTAGAAACAGCGAAGACTGTAGTGTAGAAGATGAAATACCTGGGGAGATATGGAAGAACGACAAATCGTCGAACAGGAAGGCGGGGCAGTGCCGAAGGAAAATCTTCTGGAAATCTTATGAGGCAACGTAGAAAGAAATTGAATTGGGCTTGAGTCCAAATGTTAAATCAAAAATGCTATCGCCTTGTTTGGTAAATGAAAGTTATATGTTGCTGTCAGCCGGTTGTGTCAGTTGTTTCCTAATAGTCGGTTGTATTAGCTGTTTTGATCGACTGGTTATGTTAGGTGACTATAAATAATTGTTTGGTAAAATCGATTGTTTCAAAATGATTGATAGAATGTAGCACATCTAAAAGAATGAAAGAAGTCAATCTAAAAAGGTGCCCCTTTGCTTTTCCTACCAGACATTTTTTCAGCTTTTAGGATTCAACAAGCCAATCTAAAAAACTATTTATCAAACATAAATATTGGCTGCTTTAACTAATGAAACAACTAAATTTGGTCAAACAAGCTAAAAGTTGACTTATAAGCCATTTGCCAAACATGCCTTATAGGTGCTCCAAAATGGGTACCCATTTTTACCCCCTCCTATTGTGTGACTCAAATGGGGCAACTCATTGAAGTGAAGCAGTTCATTTAAATGGTGGCCTCATTTGAACCACACAATAGGTGGGGTAAAAATAGGGTATCCCATTTTGAGGTACACCAAGCACAATTCATGTTAAATTAGTCCTGATATCTTGATGACACCATTCTTTTCACATTTTCATTCAATTTTTTATGGTTTATTCAATTTATTTAATTTAATCACTTTAAGATGTATTATGATATTAAAAATGTTGATGACTCAAATCATAGTGAATAAATATGAAAAATGGAACTATTGAATATTAGTTCCATTTGGCCAAACACAATGTATGTTAACACTATTGGCTTACAAAATAATACTCCGTAATTCGCAAAACACCATTCAATTTTGATAATTCTTTTAATATGTTTATCTAACTTTTGTGCCCTCGTTTTTTTTAATTTTTTTCAATAGCTTATTTTTCAAGTATTTGAGTTATTCATTGACCTCCTCTAACTCAGAGGTTTTATTTTTGATAAAATTTACCAAAAATTTAACGTTGTGCTTTAAATTAATTTCGTGTCAAGATTGTTACATCAATATCCATACCACATGGTAAAGTATACCAAAAAGTGTAGCTTTCTTGTAGAGAAAGTCACAACCTTTCCTCAAGCTCATGTTTTCTCGTGAGCACCACTCCCATCGAGCCTGAGACAGTAACAGAGTTAAAGCAACCACTCCAGCAGTCCATATGTTTGGAATCTGAAAGCATATTCTTTACTCCATATCACCTCTTTTTTAGAAGGTAAATTGATACCATTCATACTACTTTTCTAGTTGGGCAGAATTCCCCAAATAGGACTAAATGAAACTTTAATTGTCAAAATAGGGTCATAACTTAAAATTCCCTAAATAGGACTAGCTTTCCAATTCTACTCTTGCTTTGTTTTAATACAATTCATATTTCATTAATAATTAAAATATAAAAGTAATAACATAACTTTATTTATAACAAAATTGTAAAAAATTAAAAACAAGAAATAAATATTAAATAAAATTGATAAAAATAAAAAATTAAAAAAAATACTACCTCTGTCTCATTTTATGTGTCTCACTTTGAATTGACACAATTCCTAATAAAGTGATTGAAAAAGTAAAAGTTGTGGTTAAGGTTCGAGTATAATAAAGTGAAATGATGTATTACACATATATCTTTCCAAAAAACGAATAAGACACTTATTTTGGGACAATCCGAAAAAGAAAGTAGGACAGGTAAAATGGGATGGAGGGAGTATAAGATAAAAAACTTAAAAAACTAAAATAAGATAAATAAAAAATGCAAAAAATATAATTAAAAATATGCAGGCCTATGTTGCCGCCATAACAACCTCCCAGCACCACCAGTTCTAATCATCAGAATAAATGCCAACATGTGTCACAAAAGTCATCTTGATGACAATTTTCGAGAAGATTTTGACATTTTCAAAGAGTATAAATGTCATCTTCAAGGCATTTTCATAGAAAAAATGACAATTTTTACACAAAATGACATTTTTTAGGTGATTAGAGTAACATTGTTAGGCAGTGGGCGAGACTGTGGGAAAGGCCTCCATAATTTTTTATTATTTTTTAAGGTGTTTTATCTTTTTTTATTTATTCTTAAAGTTTTTTTGTTTTTTTTCTTAAATTAGTTTTTTAAATTTTTATTATTTTAGTATTTTTAAACATATTTTAGAACTTTTATATGTTTTTAAGATTTTTTGTATAAGTTAAATTATTTTTTATTATTTTTTGTATTTATTACAAATTATTATATGATTATCCTATTAAGTTGGCAAATTATACCGTACACCCGGATGTACGGTCCTCACCGTACATCCGGGTATTTTTGAAATTATTATCAACTTCTCCCAGTCCATTGTCCCGCATCTGCGTTGCCCAGATTCCTTCAGTCCATCAACCGTACATTCGTTGGAGATTAGTTGCAGACATGCCTGCAAGTGATAATAGGGACCTCCAGAGCTGCCAGCTCATGCTTAAGAACTGGGATCCACCATCACCTCAATTTGCTAATTTAATTAGGTAATTGTGAACATGTTAGATATGCTCAATTGACATTTAATATACGTATATGCTTATGATAATAGGGAGCTCCAGAGCTGTCAGCTCATGCTTAAGAAGTGTTTTGTTTTTCTATATCTCATTGTGTAAGTTACGTATGCTTATTTAATATTCGTTTTATGCTCATTTTAAAATGTCATATCAATACACAAATGAAATGAGTTTTATGTTAAATTCAAATAAGTATAACGTTCAAAATGAATGAGCACACAAAAATGTGTTTTAAAATTTTTTTAATACTCATTTCGTAAGTTATGTATGCTCATTTGGTAGTAATAGTATGCTCATTTTAAAATGGCATATCAATAATGCATATTTTAAAGGGAAAACTGTCAATTACACCCTCGTACTATGGGCGAAACCGCAATTGAGTCCTTCTACTTTGATAACCTTCAATTGAATCCGCGAAGTCTCCAAAATCAATCAATTAGGTCTACATTACCGGTTGGTTCCCGGTTTGACCGTTGCTTGCCTTCCTGGCGCTGACGTGGACTTTGCCAACCGGGTAGTGACCAACAGTCCAATGCCGTCGGCAACCAACAGCCACCGCCGCCACCCTACAGTGACCAACCACACACATCACCCTTGCTCATCTCCAGCGGCCACCACTGTCCAACGCCGCCGGCAACCAACGGCCACTGCCGCCATTTCTGGGGCTTCGTATCCGGCTTCCGACCACCACGCCCCTACCTAGCCCTCTCCCCAGCCCCCTTTACACTGCCAAACCTAGCCCTCTCCCTTGCACAACCACCCCCATTCCAGATCTGGAATGTTAAAAACGGCAATGAAGCCCCCCCAAATCGAACATATTAGGAAGAAAAGGACAAAGAAGAAGGTGCTAATAGCTTAACTCGGTCACTGCACCACCTCCTGCAACTCACCCGACAACGTTGAATACCGGCGGAGACGGCGACTTGCGATGCTGACAGAGGCATCAACTTGAAGGTGGAGTTAGTGACCTGGGGTGATGGCGGTGCTTCGATTCGCTGGGAGCGAAGATGGAGAGAAGTTGGTTGGGGATTGGGGAAGATGGGAAGCGAAGATGGAGAGTTGGTTGGTGAAGATGGGATGCTTCGTTAGATACACGTCACATTTTTGAAAGACCGATAGGCAAAGTCCACGTCAGCGCCAGGAAGGCAAGCAACGGGCAAACCGGGAACCAACCGGTAATGTAGACCTAATTGATTGATTTTGGAGACTTCGCGGATTCAATTGAAGGTTATCAAAGTAGAATGACTCAATTGCGGTTTCGCCCATAGTACGAGGGTGTAATTGACAGTTTTCCCTATTTTAAAATTATTATACTACATTAAATTTGCAGATGCTCAATAAAATAGGTCAGATGCTCATTAAAAGTACATTATTGCTCATTTAGCTGAATCTGTCCATTTTCGCTTAAATTACAAAAATGTCGTCGAATTTTTTTTGATCTGAATCAGTTACTGGGCTGTCACCCTTAGTTGGGCCGGGTGTACGTACACCCGGATGTACCGTATAGGCACCGTATGTATTAAGTTGGTAAAGGTAGAATAGGAAAGTATGGTATAGTTTAGTCCTATTTAGGGCTATTATCTCTTAACATAATCACCGATGCGGCGCCAAAAAGTATACGCAATAATTAGCTTATTAGTAAGAACTCCGTTGTTTACCTTTAAATGCTAAAGTTATTTAGACAGATGTGTTTCGGTATTTGAAATCATTGATAGCAGAAGATTATGCGTTAATATGACACTCATTTTGCTTAAACCAACGTATAGTATAGTACACTACAGGCTTTAGAAGAAAAAAAGCATTTCATGTCCTCTATCGTTATATACTGTGTATGCATTGGTGTATCATTAACACTCTACAATATATGGTATGGGCGAGTAGGGATTCAGATGGAGTAGTAGCTTTGTGTTGGAGAGGAAACGAAGTGGGTGCTGGTGGAACGAAATGAGCGGTCAAAGGGATCTGTGGCCACTTCTCCTCTCACAGCTGATGATGATTTCTGCACTACACACATCAATGCCTCCACCACTTCACTCATAGGCGCCCTAAACTCCTCAGCCTGCTTAATTTATTGTCAACGTATGCGTTATTGTGCATGCACAACCAACCATCCAGTCACATGTTGAGGTACAACACTAAGTAGTCCATGCAAGATTAGTCGATCAGTACCTGAAGGCAGAGTAGGATGATGTCAGCCAGATGAGAGAGAGTCTTGGCGGGGATTGTGTTTCGGATGAGCGGATCAACCATCTGTGCCAGCGAAGCATTGTCATGCAGCCTGGGTATTGCCCATTGCACCAGGTCAGCTTCCTCCTCGTCTGCTTTCGCCGCCTTTCGTCTTGATCTCCCACTGCAACTAGGTAATATACCTTTACATGTTAGGCTCCGTTTGGCACTTCACTTATGCCTGCTCTACTTATCATAGGCAGAATGAGTAGGTTTTTACTTTTAAAATTTATTTTTTCAAGTTTTTTAGTTTTTTTTTTCATTAGTCATTCCCTTGTCAGCAACGTAATTAAGGAAAAGGACCTGTCACAAGGGTGCCTTCCTGTTAAGAGCTCGAGAAGCAACACCCCAAAATCATAAACATCTTCTTTCGTGCTCACGTGTATGTCATTATCTTCTGATGAGTCATAACTACTCCCATCAGCTGCTAGCTCAAGAGCCTGCTTTCCACTTACATTGAACAGAGAAATAAAAATCGAAATTACTCAGAAAATGAGCAAGTATGAGTACTATAGGGATGGTGCTTTTTATAGGAACACAAGTACATTTACTCTTTTACTTTAAGAAATGTTTGAAAAGGAGATGAAAAATAAAAACACTTTTAACTCGCTAAAGGCACTTTATGTGCTTATTTAAGAAAAGGCCAGATTGAGCTTTCTGAGAGAGAGAGTGAGAGAGAGGAGAGAGAGAGAGAAATATCACTTCTTATAGAAAAACTATTGACACCATCATCCATACATGCTTTAAGTTGTTCCAATGCCTGAATAGATGACGTACCTTGAGTTTAACACTGTTTTTTATCATGCGACGTATGTTTGCCAGGCCACAATCTGAAATATGAGGCCTCAGGTCCTCATCAAGCAAGATTCTTGCAGCGGTCAAGTTTCCATGCGCGATTGGAGGAACACAAGAAGAATGCATGTAACTGGGGAGCAAACAAGAAAACAAATGGTTCTGTAAAGGATCAAGATGATACAAAAACCAGGCTTCCTTTGGTACGGTGGACCATAATAACATGTAATGTGATCAAATGAATTGCACATACATACATTTGATTACATTACGCTATATGTTACCAAACAACACCTTTATTCTTGTGACCAGAGAATATTGATATTCTTACTTCAGAGCTCGGGCAACGCCGAGTGCAACACGGAGACGGAGGTTCCAAGGCAAGGTCATGCAGGCCTCATTATGCAAAGCATCATAGAGAGAGACATTTCTTACATACTCATAAACTAGGATACAATGGCCGCCAACCTCCACAGTGTATCCAATCAGTGTCATTATGTTAGGGTGCCTCAGTCGTGATGAGGTCCTAATCATATCCAACAATTGTTCATCTACGAGAGTCGGCTCTACCTTGTTAATTTGGTACACAATAGACAACTTGCACAAAACAATAGTAACAGTTTTAGTTGCAGTCTTGCAGATCGTATGCAATGGATTCTTATGAGTAGTTTTACTATTACCTGACCATTGGGAAACTCTGCTCTATAGATCGATCCAAATGATCCATCTCCAATAAGGTTTTCTTGACTGAAGCTGTTTGTGGCTGATTCAATCTCTGCCATGGTGTAATGTTTCACACACATTGGGATTTTGAATTTCTTGGCAAAACTTCTTCTTGTGGACACATTCACAGCTGTGGTGGGAGCAGCAGGTGGTAACTGCAGCAGAGAAACCATATGGATCAATGGAAATCTGGAAAGAGCTATTGAAAGAAAATGGGGAGCACAATTTGGAAAGAAAAAAACACTGTAAAGGAGAATAAGAACACTATTTTCTTCATACTTATTTATTTATTGACATATGCGTAGTATCATATTACGTATATAAGACCAAGAAATCTAAACATATGGAAACTTTTGCAAAACCCTAGGTACACAGCTATCCATAGCATTTTTTGCATTACTATTCTCTAGTATTTGCAGGATCCAAGCATACCCCTAAAGGTTCTGGAAGAGATATCATTCTTGATGATTGATGGCTTTCTTCTTGAGCTGCAGTGGAAAAATCTGCAGTTTTGAAGAACAAAGTTAATAATCATGAAGAACCGGTTTATCAAGTATTCGCTTTGAACATATTACAAAAAATTGATATGTCTAGCCTCTAATTGTAGAGCTGGTTGGAAAAGAATGAGTTGAGTTTTGATTTCCTTCTATAACGTCTAACAACTGCTTATGAGACCCACAGAGCAACACAAGGACCAAAATTGCAACACAGGTTCCCAAAATAGTGGCTCCAACCACTATAGCAACTATTCCTTCAAAGCTTAGTCTTTTCTTCTTGTGCCCTCCAATCTGTGGACTTGGTGGACTGCTAATATTCTGCTCATTGTGCAAAAAGTCAAGAGGGAAACTCCATGGTGTATAGTTCTGTATTCTATCAAACCTGTTACCACCAATCCTATTTGAAGACCAAGGAGGGAGAGTGTTTAAATGGGAAAATGGGACTGAATGAGGATATGTAAAACCAAACAGTAGTGATTTCAGTTTACCATAAGTTCCTAATCTTTTGAAAATTTTCTGGGATCACTCCACTGAAATGGTTATCTGCAATGTTCCTGGAAAAGTATACAAAGTGAGCAAACAAACTCTTTCACAACTTACAATATTATGGATGCTTCAGGTATGGATAATTACTCACAGGTCTTTTAGTGGGAGTTGAGACAAAAGAATGACTGATCCAGTGAGTGAGTTGTTTTGCAGAAACCTACAATTATTCTCTTTCAGGTGTTTAAGTTTTTCAAAAATGGGAGAACGGATCATGCTATTGTGAATAAACAGAGAAATAAAGTTACAATGATGTCAGGCTTGTTAACCCTCTAACTGAACTAGGTAGATCTCCAGTGAGGTTATTGTGTGATAGATCCCTGAGATAAAAAATACAAGTTATCATTAATAATTTCATTAGTTATCAATATAAAATGATGAAGTACTAGATGACTCATCTGTAAAGCTTGAATATCAAATGCATAGTTTGGTCACAATATTCACATCTCAATTCTGTCAATTTTTATGGTTTCAGTATTAAGACAAAAGAAAAGAAATATCTAGAATGATGGTTTACATCTCTCTCAGATTCCCCAAGCCACTGAAATCTCCCAATTGTCCAGATAATATGTTGTGGCTAAGGTTCCTGCAACAATCAATGATTAGAACACTGGTCATTTACTAGAACCATAAGGTTATGTTTGAAACCCGAAAATGGTAGAGAAAATAAAAACATGTTTAGAAGAATAACATTTTTTATTACTTGATTTTACCGTGGAAAATGGGAAGTGAAATCAGATCTGTTTACAACCATTTAAAATTTCATATGTATAAAGGCTTCTTAGTAATTACTCCATATAAGCTAGAACCATACAAGTAAATATGAGGTTAAACAAAAATCTAATATTCATTCCCACGTGTATTTTCCGGGTTCCAGAAAAAAACATAACAGCTAGTGTAAATTACTGAACTCTACTCACAATATTTTGAGGTTTTTCAGGTTCGATAGAGAATCGGGAATTCTCTGGCTGAAACGATTTAATGCCAAACTCCTGCAGTTTCCATATTAAGAAGGTTTAATATAAAATTCTCATAAGCTGAAGGTATAGAAACAAATTGACTCAACTATGAATAAACAAGGAAACTTATCTCACAAGTGCATCAGATTAAGTGGTAAGGCGTATGGGATTTCACCTTCAATACTATTTGAGCTCAGGTCCCTAAATGAACAGAAACATCAAACCGATAATAACTGTGAGACAAAACTAATGCAGTGACAGTGAAGATTAAACTAACTTACAACTCGATCAACTGTTGAAGATTTGAAATCTGGAAGTCTAAAGTACCAGTGAGGTTCAAACCAGTAAGACTACTGCAAGAAATTATCATATATCATATAAAATAAAGAGCACAGTAAATATGCATGACGGTCTCTTCCAGGGCATAAATTAAATAGTGTCAGGTGGTGTACATGTGAGTCACGGATGAACCAAAACAGGAAACGCCAACCCAATGATCCTCACAGGGGTCACCTCCCACTAGTTCCCAGTTTTCGAGTTGTGGTGGACAGTTCAAGGCTGTATACATCTCTCTGATAGTTTGAACTGAAAAACATATACGTAGTATGTATTATCATCTGAAAAATGGCAGAATCCCACTGGATAATAGGTCATATTAGAATTTCAGCAATCAACTTCTCAGACTTAAAACTCCGAGAACAAGAATCTCATGTAAAAGGAATTATCCGGCAAATTTTGAAATCCTAATATCAAGAATTCAGAGACGCAAAAAAAAAACACAAAAAATCCAAATTCAAGAGGCCGATGATCAGATAACTCCACCGCATCACTCACATAAGCGAGTATAATAGTTGTGAGATATTCAACTAATATAATTACAAGCAATCTTCTCGTTCTCAAATTGATCAAACATATCACCTTCGAGTTCATCTGTACGGGCGGATGATAGAAGAGGCAGAACCGCCAGCATAGACACCGACACGTGCAGGCAAAACAGCATAGCCTGTTTAGACATTTCGAGCAAGACCTGGAGAACTGGAGCTAAAAAATCAGCGACAAATTCAAGTTATACCGGAAAGGCACGCATTGGGAAGAAGACAGAGTTTGTATAGATATGTCCGTAATCATATACGCTTTACGAATTATGTAGAATTGAGTTTTACCGCAGATTCTGGAGGGGAAAAGCTATGATTACTTGGAAAGGATGTGGTTTAACAGTAGGAGAAGTGTTGTTATTTTTGGAGAAGATGAAGTCAGACTGTTAGGCAGTTACAGACACGTGCCTCTCACTCGCTCTCCTCCGCGCCCTTTCACTGACGTGTACTCTGCGATTCAACCTTTGGCTTCCCGCCGCTTTCCGTTTTATTTTCTGGTTTACTCCGAACTGGATTTCAAATTTTAACCCAATTCCGTTTTATATGGGGTACACCTTTGGTACCTCATATAAAAAGTCCATATTTTTACCATCATTTACCCCCTCCAAAAATTTAGCCCTCTCACAACCCTCTCCCCCCTGCGCAGAATCATTCCACCAAAAAAATGGAACCAATCAGAGCTACAGTGATCGGAGAAATGATACCCTTCATCTTCTCCGTTGAAACTCTTCTTCAATGGAGCTATACGGGAATGATACATCCGAGTGGATTGATGGCTTACTCTTGGATAGCATGATTTTTGGAGAGCTAGGTGATGAGGGTGAAGATGATGCTTGTACGCCGGTTTCCGGCGAACTGGATGCTAGGTCGAGGGAAGACGATGAACAAGGTCTAGAGGTCGAAGGCTTGAGTACGTGTTGTTATCTTGGTTATGTTTTCTTGATTTTCTTGATTTTGTTTTCTTGATTTTTTTGTGTATTTGGGATATGAAAAGGGTTGTCTATCTAACATAGTAGTTATAAGTGCAGTGTCTGTCTACTGAAATATAGTAGGTTTGTTGTTTGACACATATGTAAAATGCCTGACAGACAGACAATGTAATTTGTTTGTCTACGTAGAAATAACGTCTGTATGAACATGCAAGTATTGGTAAAAGAGTGTTTTGTAGTATGTTTTCATAGTGAATGTTGTTTTTATGTAAAAGTGTGTATAAGTGTTGGACATGTGATTGTATTTGTGAATGTCCACAAGAATGTTGTGAAAATAAATTATGCATACTATTGTGGGTCTGGACAGACAACATGTAGTGTGTTGTCAATTGTTATGAACATGTATTTTTGTTTGGAATAACACACGAAGATGAAGAAAAGAGTAATAATAAAGACCCTAAGGTTGGTATCGAGTTTCCTAGTAAAGAGGCAGTTTATGATTTCTACAAGGCTTATGGTAGAAGAGTGGGCTTTCCTGTTAGACAACAAACTTCACGTAAAGACAAAACAGGCAACATCACTGCGATTGTCTTAGAGTGTGCTCGTGCTGGAAGTAGGGCCAGCCGGTCACAAAATGTTTTGAAGCCTCAACCTTCAATGCAAGTCGGTTGCCTTGCAAGAATAAGAGCACGTACAAATTACGCCGGAGGATGGGTGATTTCAAAGTCATGGTTAGATCATAATCATGATATGAGTCCTACTGATGGAGTATATGGCCCGGAAACACCCGCTCCACAGACTCCTACTACACCAATAAAGGCCCAACCGGCCCAGGAAGCTCAACAGGCCCAAATCACAGCGCCCAAAGTACCAAGCAACCCGTAGAGCGCACCAGGGGTGCCTTCGGCCCCCTAGCCGAAGGCTCTAAACTCTCACGGAACGGGTTTCTCAAGCAAACTAAGAAACTGGGAAAAACGGCAGAAAACAGTAGCCCTCGGCACCTGGAGCCCTCGGCACCAAAGGGGTCCTCAGTACTCAGAGCCCTCGGCTAGTCCTCTACAGCCGAGGGCACCTTCCCCGACAGGATATCCGCGCCACATGCGTACAGATCACCGTACCCTGTACAACGTCCCATCCAACAACCGCATTAAATGCGGCCACATGCGGTTGCCAGAGCCAACCAGATGAGGTGACCTCTCGGCCAATGGACGCTTGACACGTGTCCCTGTCCGGCATTTATTGCTACTATAAATAGCACCCCATTTCCCCATTTGTAACCACGCTGAAAACGCTCCACACTTATAATACACTTTCTCTCTCTACATTTACTTGCTCTGACTTCTCTCTTGTTACTCCCCGTAATAATCCATCGGATAAGCTACCCCCGGGGTACACTATCCATCATTTGGTGCTCTCGTTGAGAGGTCGAACAATCGAGTAAGAAACCCTCCCCCTTCGCCAAACACTAGCCCTCTACCAAAATGGTGAGAACAACACGTGCCAACTCCAAAAACGTGGAAGACAAGAACCTGGCCCTCGGTGACGTCAACGCCCCCGAAGCCTCTCACAGGGCTCCCGAGGGCGGTGTCATCGCTGGGCTGGAACAAGCGGCTGTCGACCTACGCCTTAAGATCCAACAGAATGCCCCCGATGCCCGCCTCGGCATCGAGGCCAAGAAGAAAAACCGGAGCGATGACCAAGTCAGCCCTCCGGTTCTCACCATCGACGCGCATTCAGCGCTCTCCGCCTTCATCCAGACGCTCACTCAGAACCCAGGTGCCTTCGGCACCCTGGCTCCGGCTCAACCCCAGGTTGGGGAGAACATCATACTTCCCCCTCTGCCACACCCCTTCGGAAATCCCATCCCTCGGGTTAGGAATGACGAAGGGGTAGTGGCCCAAGATACGGCCTCCCAGGAAGTTCAGTCCCGGGACCGTCACAATGACAACAGAGAGAGGCCCCGCACTTCCGCCCTCAACCGGCTCGGAGGAGGGCAAGACCGCCGAGGGGTCCAAGACCGCCTCGGAGGGAAAGCACTCCAAAGGCCCCAGAAAAGCGGGGGGTCTGTCTCGAGGGCAGACGAGGAACGTCCCCCTCGGGACAAAGGCAAGGCACCTCTTCATGTCGACAATGCGCGCCACCAAATCAACCAGGCCCACTCGGCCCGGGTTCGTTCGCAGGGGGCGGAGACCCTCCCGAAGGATCCCCGGGATGAAATTATTGCGGCCCTCCAACGCCGGCTTGATGAAATGGAGGCTAACAAAGCTCACGCCACCACCTCCACCCCTCATTCAGACCTCAAATACGAGGCCATGATGGCCAAAATGGAGGAATTACAGAAGAAGGTAGCCGAGGGCTCCGGGGAACCCGTCATCCAGCTCCGGACTCGGACGTTATTTACCCCAAGGGTATTGGCGGCCCAGATCCCGGAAAAGTACCGAGGGCAACACATACAGCCCTACAACGGGAAGACGGACCCCCAGGAACACTACAGCAAATACCAGAACAGCATGATGATGGTAGGGGCGTCAGACGAATATTTGTGTCGTTGGTTCCTCTCCACCTTAGAGGGGCCGGCATACGAATGGTTCAACCGGCTGCCCGAGGGCTGCATTGATTCATGGCAAGAACTCGCCCAGCGATTCTTGACACAGTTTGTCGGGAGGCGTCGCACGAGGAAGCACTTCTCCCACCTCCTAACCATACGCCAGAGGAGGGATGAGACCCTTCGGGACTTCCTAGAACGTTGGAGAACGGAGGCCGACAAAGTCGACGGTGCTGACGACGGGACCCTCCTGGTCCTCCTACAAACCGTCCTCCGCACCGGTAACTTTTCAAAGAGCCTCATCATTGAACCCCCCCCCGCGACTACATAAGGGCCCTGCAACGGGGGGACCGATACGCTGAGGCCGAGGAGGTGGAGAAATACCACCAGCATCCAGATCAACAACCCCCGAGGGCTGACAACAAGAATAACCGGGGGCCGGGGGCTCCTCCAAATCACCCCAAGGCTTCAGGACCCTCTGATGACCGCCCTCGGCAAGGCCAAGCCAAGCCCGGGGGAGGTTATAAGAGCAGCCCTAAGACTTGGGCACAGCCCATTCTCCGGGACCGCCCCCGGACACCATTGACGCACCCCGTCAGCATCATCCTTGATTTTGCCGAGGAGAGGGGCCTCGTTGAGCGCGATTCTAGCGCGCCCCCGGAGGTACATGCTATCAACCCTCAATTCCCCTACTATCGTTTCCATCGGCATCAGGGGCACAGAACCGATGACTGCCATCAGCTAAAGACGGCCATCGAGAGATTAATTCAAGCGGGGCACCTGTCCCAATTTGTTCAGAGCCCTCGGCAGGAGGGACCTTCTCATCAGGGACCTCCTCGAGGGCACCACACGAAGGTGAACGCTTGGGTGAACCCGAACACCACCCCCCTCGGCAAGAAGAGAGAGATCGGAAACTTGGAGGAGGAAGAGGAAGAGTACCCCCACTACCAGGAGAAGAAACGCCACATCCTCATGATCACCGGTGGAAATACAGGGGGCGATTCCACCAGCCAGCGGAAAAAGTGGGCTCAATCGCTTTACGTGGGGGAAGTCACTAACATGCCCCCAGTAAAACGGCTGAGGGAGGAACCCATCACCTTCACCAACGCAGATCTCCCTCCTACTTCTTCTCCTCACAGGGATGCCTTGGTGATTCGGACTGAAATAAACGACACCATCATTCACCGGACTTACATTGACACGGGCAGCTCCGTCAATGTAATGTACCTCAGCACCTTCAGAGAGCTGCATCTGGAGAGGGGGTCCCTTCGGCCCATTAAGACCCCTCTTGCCGGCTTCACCGGCGATACTATTGATTTCGAGGGGGTAATAACCCTCCCGGTGATCTTCGGCGACGGGCTCCATAGAGCCCAGCTCGAAGTGGAGTTCGTCGTCGTCAACATCGACTGCGCCCACAACATCATCCTCGGCCGGCCAGCCCTCGAGGACCTCGAGGCCATCATCTCCATGAGGCACCTCTGCCTCAAGTTTCCCGCCGAGGGGGGCATTGGCTACTCCGGGGGGAATCAGAAAATCGCCCGCGCCTGCTATCTTCAAGTCACAAAGAAGGTAAGTAAGACGGAATTCCGTGTTGACACCATCACCGGAACCATCGACCAAGAAGAAAAAAGGCCGAGGGCTGAACCAGCCGAGGACGTAGAAGACTTTACACTCAATCCGGCCAAGCCGGAGAGAGTCGTGAAGATTGGAGCCCAGCTCCCTGAAGATCTGAAGACCGGTATCACCGACGCCCTCCGCGCCTACTCCACTGTCTTTGCATGGGGGCCGGAGGACATGCCGCGAATCAGCCGAAGGGTCGCGGTGGACCCCTCGGCAAAAGCAGTACAACAACGAAGAAGACCCCTCTCCGCCGAAAGGAGGGAATTTGTGAAGAAGGAGGTCGTCGTGCTCCTCTCTATTGAGCACATCAAGGAGGTGAAATATCCCTCATGGCTGGCCAACGTAGTCCTCGCACAGAAGCCTCCTACCTTCCGCATGTGCGTG